CATGCATTGTTTGCGGAAGCTACGCTAGTGCGTCGGGTCCATGTGATGGACCATGTGACCAATAAAAGTATTGGCCGCAGCAAACGCGTCTGTGAGCTGGCTGACTGGTGGATGTAATTGTATAAAACAAGGTTCACTTGCAAGGCTGAAATTAGCCCCAAAAGGGCAAAACAAACGTAAAGAATACCCTGTCTGTCCGCCATCGTTGTTGTTGTTGTTTTTCTTTTTAATTCGCATGCGCGAGCTGCGGTTTGACGTCATCGATCCGTAAAAGTCCAACCACACGAATCCACTACGGATACGGGATACGGATATTTTTTTATTTCTCCACTTGTTTTTCCGGATTCAGATTTATCCGGTTTGAGTGCTCCAAACTCCCGTTTTGGTGTGGTAGGGAGGCCTAATCGGACATAAATATGTGCGGTTTGAAATATATCCGCATTCGTGTAGTTCGGGCCTTAGAGTGGTCAGGGCTTGTAGGTGGGCTTCCCCTGGTTCTCCTCCTACACTGCAGTCTGTCACCTCAAGCCCTTCATTCATGACCCCTCCAGCTCCCCCTGCTGCAGTGGAGGATCCCATGCAGCTGGGCTGAGCTCCTTTGGATCCTCAAGAACGCCTGAGATGCTTAACTAACAAGTTGTGTATCTATTGTGGTCAACCTGGACATTTCATTGCTCACTGCCCCCTGATTTTAAAAGAGAAGACTCACCATTGATGGAGAGTGCAATGGTGAGTCAGACCATTTCTCCCCCCAGCCTTCCTCAACTTTCAACTTCAACTTCAACTTTATTTCATTTATGTGGCACTTTTCCTACAAAGTTGTAACACAAAGTGCCTTACAAAGCATAAAAAGAAAATGAAACATTAAAATCCCCAAGAAAACCCCAAACCTCCCACCCGAACAATTATACCCATACACACACCCGTGCACATAGACATACATTCCCACACACACAAATTTACATACACACACAAATTTACATACACACACACCTACACAGTTAGCAGCTGATGGTGAGGAGACATGACTGGGCACTGAGATCTGAGGTGAGGAAGACGCTACCTTTGGGGACCACGTCGACCGGGAGGCATCCCAGCCCATTGCTGCAGGGGGCGCCGTCACAGGGACCACCAGCCCGGGCAGACAGGAGGCTCCACACCAAGGTGTAGAGCTCTCTGGTTCCACCCGGGCCAGAGCTGTCCCCAGAACGGCGCCCCCACCAACAGACCAGAACCCGTTCCCGGTGAAGCAGCCCCCAGGAGGAAACACTGGAAAAACTGAGGGACTAAAAGAATAAAATAAGACATAAAAGTATAGAAACTAAAACTGAAGGAATAAAACTGTAATCGCTAAGACAGACCCAGTAAATAATGTAAGATGAAATGATTCTGTGCACTGTAAAACACGGCAGACTAAAAATAATAATAATAATATTGATAAATTGGAGTATAAAATAGAACGGTAATAAAAAGTGTTAGATAGTGTAACAATAAAAGTGAGCATAAAAGGGATTAAAAGAGTTAAACTAGTCAGTTAAAAGCCTGATTAAAAAGATGAGTCTTTAGCCTCTTTAAAAATATCAACATTCTCTGCAGCCCTGAGGCTCTCTGGGAGGCTGTTCCACAGTCGGGGGCCATTATAACTGAATGCCGCTGCCCCCTATGTCTTAGTTCTTACTTGTGGGTTTTTCAAGAGACCAGCTCCAGAGGACCTCAGGGTCCGTGAGGGTTGATAAGGTAAAGGTATCTCGGATAAATAAAACGGCCCAAGACCATTAAGACACTTAAAAATTAGGAGAACCTTAAAATCGATCCTGAAACGCACGGGGAGCCAATGCAGCGATTTTAAGACAGGAGTAATGTGCTCCCGCCCTCTGGTCCTCGTCAGCACACGTGCGGCTGAGTTTAGTAATAATTGTACGTTTTGCATGTTCTTTTTGGGAAGACCAGAGAGCAGGGCAATACAATAATCCAAACGACATGAGATAAAAGCATGCATCAGCACCTCCGTGCTGGCCTGAGAGAGAAACGAGCGGACTCTTGCTATATTCTTAAGATGGCAGAAACCTATCTTTATGTTTTTGATATGTGGAATAAACGTGAGCTCGGAGTCAAAAATCACGCCCAGATTTTTTACAGATTTTGAAGGTTTCAAATCCTGTAACTTTGGTAAAAGTTTCTCTCTCTGGCCTTCAGGACCAATGACTAAAACCTCTGTTTTGTCCTGGTTGAGCTGCAGGAAATTTGCTGCCATCTATGATTTAATGTCTGAAATGCAGCTAAAAAGGGCATCAATTGGCCCTGTGTCATCAGGAGACACGGCGATGTACAGTTGCGTATTATCAGCATAGCTATGGAAGCTGATGCCGTGCCTCCTGATGACATCCCCAAGGGGTAACATGTAGAGGTTGAACAGAGTTGGACCTAGAATTGACCCTTGGGGAACACCACACTCTATTTTATGGGTCCTTGAGGAACATGTATCCATACTTACAAAGAAATTTCGATCAGTCAGGTAGGACGTGAACCACTTAAGAACAGTACCAGAGAGGCCAACCACATTCCGCAGTCTATTTAATAAAATCACAGCATGCCAGTCTCTTCTAGTCTCTTCTGGAACCACAGCACCACATCGATTCCTGTTCTGATCAACTCTGGGGCAGACGACAACTTCATCTACACAGGTTTAGTCAAACAACTTCAACTTCCCCTCGAGCCATTAGATTCTCCCCAAGAATGTCAATGTCCTGGATGGTCACCTCATCTCAACAGTCACTCACAAAACTGCTCCTGTCACCCTCATTATCTCGGGGAATCACAGAGAGACCATTCAGCTGTATGTCATAACTTCTCCAGTCTCCCCACTGGTCCTCAGGTACCCTTGGCTCAAGCATCACAATCTTCACATCCATTGGAAAAAATCCTCCATTACCAGCTAGAGCCTGCATTGCCACTCTCACTGCCTCCTGTCTTCCAATCCAGTTGCAGTTAGCCACAACTCACCCCCTTCACCTCCAGACCCCACCAGTGTCCCTCCTGAGTAACATGACCTCGTCTCTGTGTTCAGTAAAGACTTGGCACGATCCTTACCCCCCCCCCCCCCACACACACACACCCCCACTCACCGCCCATATGACTGTGCCATCGATCTCCTTCCTGGAGCCCCTCTCCCCACTAGCCGGCTGTACAACCTGTCTTGACCTGAAAAGGAGAACATGGAGGCCTACTTTCAGGACTCTCTGGCCACTGGACTCATCCACCCCTCCTTCTCTCCCATGGGGGCTGGGTTCTTCTTTGTGAAAAAGAAGGACTCATCACTGCATCCCTGTATAGACTTGCAAGGACTCAATGACATAAGTGTTTGTAGGAGATGAATGGTTTCTGCTTGTTCACCTTTAATTAACCCTCAAAGGAATGCAGTGACTCTGGTCATTGAAAGGAGATGGGGGTGAATTTCCACACCAAACCATGGTCTTTTTACAACCTCCTGTCTATAGGAAACTAACCAAGAGGTGATCTCCCAAAACACAGACATTAAAGCTTTTGCATTTCAAAGAGACAAAGTTGCTAAATTCTAGCAGGACCCCCGGACTGGATAAACATTTACCCCTCTGCTGTTGGCTGGAGACTCAAATTTAACACCTTAACCTTAAAGAAACCTTAGAAGATCATGGGAACTCAACTCAAGAATGCATCAAAAGCATTCATCTGTGAAACAGACCACAGCCATAAATCTTCAGAGTGGCTGTTTTTCCTGTTACTCTCTTCAGGTGCAGAATAAAGAGATAAAGAGAATGATTCAATTTCAGGTTTAATGGACACTTCATCAGGATTTCCTATCTGTACACCACATCAGCAGTGAAACAGTCTTTGTCCCATTTGTTTAGCATGTTTATAAGCCAAACTGCTAACTTCACAAATTGTTCTCCATGGACCAAGAGCTCCCCCTAGTGGGGTTTTCTGAATATGGTTTTGGTCAGGATCCAAATACGTATTCCTTGAATTTAATTATGTTGCACGTTAAATACTTTGTTATTCTCCTATTTCCTTATTATTATTATTATTATTATTATTATTATTATTATTATTATTATTATTAATAATAATAATAATAATAATAATAAGTGGAAATGCTGATTAAGCATTTCCACTTGTTGTTATTCTCCTGTTTCTTTATTGAGTGGGATTGCGAAGCATTCCCACTATATGTTATTCATATCTTTATTATTCAACACACTTCCGCTGTTTTTTGTGCCTCAACTACTTCCACATACTTCAACGTATTCAAACCATTCAAACTTCAAAATATTCGTCTCATTGAGGAGATTCCGGCTTGTATTCAGATTTTTCCTTACATTCATAATTTCTGAGTTATTCCCGGTTTTCCGACTGATTTCTCCCATAAGAAATGCATTAGGGAGTGTTCAAAATGGCCCCTTTTCTCACATTTCTTCACACAACTTCAAAAGCCTTCAACTCCCCTATACTTCCACCTCGAAACTTCATTCAAACTTTAAAACATTCACACACCTTTAGACATTCACTCATTCATTCACCAACTATATGGCATTCATACTTTTCTCAGTGACAGTTCAAACAGTCACAAGATTTTCTGACCTCTTCAGGTTTTAACATTAGTGTGTATTGCATGGAATGTTGGCAGCTAGAGTGTGTGACCTCATCGCTAGATTGACAGAGGGTGAAAATTTATCCTCAAAACTTTGTTTTTACAAAAGGATTGTGGCTACTCACTTTGCTCGACACAGATAATATTTGGTACAGTGATGGCAAAACTTGCTGTCACTCTTCATCTCAAAAATCAAAGCCATAGGACACACACAGTGGCCTGGGCAGACACCAACTGCCACAGACATCCCCAAAAATTCTCCAGCTTTCTCCATTGACTCCAATGTAAACCTGAGAGGAGGATTTTCAGAGGAAACACAAACTGGACATGTTTTTAACTTGGCTCCACAAACACAGAAATGATATCAACGTGTTGTAGGGGAATGTCTTCATACATTTAGGTTAAGAAATATAGAGTAATTATCTTTTAGTAAGAAGCTACAAATAGTCTAGGTTGGCCTGCTCCTGCTGCCCCACGACCATGAGATTGTAAGCAAGGCTGTCTTGCAGGAGCCCAAACTATCTGTCTGTTGGAACATGTAATCTCTGCCAGGGTCAAGACGAACCTAAACAAAGTGTCGTGGGGCAGACATGTCATCATGAGGGGCCTTCTGGAGAATCCACACACACACACACACACACACACACACACACACACACACACACACACACACACACACACACACCTACCTAACAGCATAAAAGAGAGAAGAAGAGAAGCTAGAGGAGGCTTCCTTCGGTCTTGGTCGAGACCCTGTTTGTCATCTGTACTGATTTCTACATCTGTACTATTAAAGACGCCCAGGCTGTTCTTCAGATCTCATCATGTCTCCTGTGCATTGTTTATGCTGGACTTTCCACAACATAATTGGCGAGCTTTAGCCAGAATTCGTTTCGGGGGACAAGGGACCATGGTTCTGCGAACTTCACATGGGATAAGGACACTCTGTGCGCACAAAAAGAAAAAGGTAGGATATTTCCTAAAATTTGGTTGAGAGTTCTTCTCCCTGTAAGGTGGTGCGGACTACTGTTCTCTGTCCTCTTCGGATCAAAGAACCTAGAATAGAAATAAGAGGAGACAGTGGGAAGGAAGACAGTCTGAGAAAACTGCATGCATGCAGTCAGCTGATCAAAGTATTTGGGAAAATTTGGGAAAGGAAGCCAATTTAAATTGGATATATATCAGCTGAATTAAGAGAAACTGCAGTTGGTTGTGTCAGATTGCCTCACGCTGCTACGTGTAGACTGATAGTAGACTGGGTGCAGAGAAGCACTTCGTCTCCTTCAAAGGGTGAGATTGCCTCACGCTGTTACGTGTGTGAGATTGCCATATGTAGAGCTATAGGCTGCTGCATGTGATGAGTGCCATATGCAGAGCTATAGGCTGCTGCATATGAGGAATGCCACATGTAGAGCTATAGGCTGCTGCATGTGATGAATGCCATATGTGGAGCTATAGGCTGCTGCATATGAGGAATGCCACATGTAGAGCTATAGGCTGCTGCATATGAGGAATGCCACATGTAGAGCTATAGGCTGCTGCATATGAGGAATGCCACATGTAGAGCTATAAGCTGCTGCATATGAGGAATGCCACATGTAGAGCTATAGGCTGCTGCATATGAGGAATGCCACATGTGGAGCTATTGGCTGCTGCATATGAGGAATGCCACATGTAGAGCTATAGGCTGCTGCATGTGATGAATGCCATATGTAGTACTATAGGCTGCTGCATATGAGGAATGCCACATGCAGAGCTATAGGCTGCTGCATATGAGGAATGCCACATGTAGAGCTATAGGCTGCTGCATATGAGGAATGCCACATGTAGAGCTATAGGCTGCTGCATATGAGGGATGTCACATGTAGAGCTATAGGCTGCTGCATATGAGGAATGCCACATGTAGTACTATAGGCTGCTGCATATGAGGAATGCCACATGCAGAGCTATAGGCTGCTGCATATGAGGAATGCCACATGTAGAGCTATAGGCTGCTGCATATGAGGAATGCCACATGTAGAGCTATTGGCTGCTGCATATGAGGAATGCCATATGTAGAGCTATAGGCTGCTGCATATGAGGAATGCCACATGTAGAGCTATAGGCTGCTGCATATGAGGGATGCCACATGTAGAGCTATAGGCTGCTGCATATGAGGAATGCCACATGTAGAGCTATAGGCTGCTGCATGTGATGAATGCCATATGCAGAGCTATAGGCTGCTGCATATGAGGAATGCCACATGTAGAGCTATAGGCTGCTGCATGTGATGAATGCCATATGCAGAGCTATAGGCTGCTGCATGTGATGAGTGCCATATGCAGAGCTATAGGCTGCTGCTTGTGAGGAATGCCATATGTGAAGCTATAGACTGGGTGCAGAAGCACCTCGTCTCCTTCAGAGTGTGAGACCGCCCCACACTGCTATAAGTGTGAGATTGTCATATGTGAAGCTATAGGCTGGGTGCAGAAAAGCACTGGCCAGTAGCTTGGGGAGACAGCCGGGCCCGGGTTGTGATGTTTTTTTTTAGGCTGAATGCCTGGAGATAAAAAGGTAGTGGGTAATTTTTGGGATAACAAGGGGAGCGGCAGACATGAGTGTGTCTGTCCATTGTTGAACTGTGAGTTTTAGACCATCTTTCATGAGCTCTGAAAGGTGGCAGCCGATGGACGAGCAGATTCATCTCGTAATACATACGTGGATTTTCTTTCTGGAAAACTCCACTAGAAAGGAGGATTTGTCATGCGAAGTTCCGCTGAGGCTTAAGAAAAAGCCAAAAGGAGAACAAAAGTGGCATATTTCCTCATAAATTCTGATCCAGAACTCTAGAGGGCCGAATAAGTATAATGACGGAATAGTAGATATTTGAAATGTACATATATATATATCTTTTATATGTCAAAGACCTCACAAAATCAGTGTTATAATTGGACTTAAATTACAGATACAGATTGGCTTGATGAGCAGGAGATAGAAAAAGAGGTCAATAAGGATAGGCTGAAAAGCCTATTCAGGGATCCCAATTGAACAAGCACGTCCCATATCTCCTGACCAATTGTAGAAGAAACACACAAATTGAAAAATCACACAAATTGGGAAAAATTGAAGAAATCAAAACAAGAATTAAAATAGAAGACTGCTGACTGACTCCAGTGACTGACTTTGACTTCAAACACGTGTGAAAGGGTATACCATTGTGTGATGAAAAAGTGAAGTGTGTGGGTTGATTGGATGTTTGTGTGTGTCTGTTTTGTTCTGTGTCAACTAAGTTCTCTGGCAGTGTTTACAGCGAGACTCTGCATCTGTGTGTGTGTTATGCTAGTCAAACATTGCTGTGTTTTCCTCACTTGTGTTTATTTCATAGTTGTTTATGTGAATACTGTGCTCATTGCGGTCATGTTATCAGTTGAGACATAGAAGGTTAAATACTCCTGGGAAAGAGGTTCTGTTCCTAGTACCATGATGAACACTCCTGATATGAAGGTTTTAGCTTATGCTCAAATATTATGTTTTTTTGTTGTGAACACGTCTTATGCTCCTTAACAAATTTTCTGTGTTAAAGCTGCTGAAATAATGTTTGTAAAAGTATAAAAGATACAAAAAGGGGAAAAAGAAATGAGGTACCACAAGTGCAAAACTTCTAAAACTTCAAATCTAAGAGTTGCTTCTATACATCTGCTGTTTTTGCCAAAATACTGTGTTTTTTAAATATTATTGAAGCTGTTAATATCAATACTGACTATTGCTATAGAACTTCAGTTAAGGCAAAAGCTTTATACTGTGTATTTTTGGGAATTTTACAAAACTGCTGGGGATCAAGTTTTGATGTGTGTGCTCATTTGAATAATAAATTTTACAAAAACCATGACCAGAAAGGGAAGATTAGTTTAACTCCAATTGCATTGGTAGGGTGTAAATATACTGAACACTTAAATGATATCCAAAAACTTACAAAGAAATGGGAACATTGAGTCAAGGGGTTTGAATTTTTATGACCTAGGGGAGGCACATCTGATGTGGCTGTGTGTGAGGATTTGGAGCAGCGAATCTAAGACCATAAACACAAAGATAAAGGTAAAACACGCAAAAACAAAAGATTTGGAACTAGAAGTACTGAACATGTTCAAAAGTGAAGGCCAACACTATTTTATGAATAAATTAAAGATTGGGCTTGCAGAGCTTTAAAGTAATAAGGAGAAGGTGGAGACAAGAAAGTCAAACATGATCGGATTTTTATTACATGCTTCGACTTTGTTCAACGCAACACTTAGATTTGTGTCATTTTCATACTTTAGATTATTTTTTTTCTTCTTAATCATGCTCTGATCTTTTGAACTAATAAATAAGAATAGAATAAAAAACTATTTTTTTTTCTATCTTAGGTTGCCTTAAAACTTTTTTTATTTTTTTTATTTACTCATCTCATTTGAATTTCCAAATGATTCATAATCACTGCTATTTTTGTCCCATATGTTTTGAAAAGGTAATTGACAGTTTTCGTGAAATTGTGGCCGTGGAAAACCACACACCTTGTTGGGCTGATTGCCAGACTACCACAAACTGAACAGGGGGCAGGGAGATGGATATCGTTTTTTGAGGATGAACTGTAGGAAAATGTTGACTACACCAGACATGGAAGCACTCTTGGCTAAACTGCTGGGAACTAAGACGATGGAGGAGTTTCTGCGCAAGGCAAAACAAGGTTGGATGACGAATCCCATGATAGATGGGAGTGAGTTCAATGCATATTGTGATGTGATGTGGAGAGTACTGCCAGATGAAGAGCGGAGACCGAAAGAACAGGAAAAGAACATTCAGCGGAAGTTGAAAAAGCCACCTCTAAGGGGGACACTGCAAAAGAGACCCAGCGATGCAGACCATGCAGACGCTAACTGCGGTAAAACCTGTGACAGTAACCTGTTTAATCACCTGTTGTGAATGTTTATCCTCAGACAGAACCCTGCTCCATAGAGATGATATATCCCTGCAGGGGGAGAGAGTGGAATTCTGACGGACGTTTAACGTCTAAAGACCTGCTGGGGATATGATCATACCGGACATTTTTGACAACTGCCCAGACCAGGGACGTCTCTGGCTGGAGCTGTGGTGGGGGGCCCCAGCCCAGACAATGTGAAAGTGGTGGCTTACTACAGTGTGATTTTTGTGGATGATGGAAAAAGTTAATTGTTGGTTTTAATTTTAACCCTGTTGACCCTATAGACCAGGGGTCGGCAACCCGCGGCTCTGGAGCCGCATGCGGCTCTTTCTTCCCTAAGCTGCGGCTCCCAATGGATTTGGAAAATAAATAATAAATACTTAATTGCATTTTATTTTATTTTATTATTATTTTTTTTTTTTTTTGTAATTCTAAATTCTGTATAATGATAAATCTAAATGCAGCTTTGCTGAATCCACATACACTCCTCACAGATGTGCCACCTAATGTAAAAGTAATAGGAAGCTATCAAGGGTCAATAAGGCCAAAGAAAAATGTTTTAATGTCAAATAACTATTTTGCTACCAGTAGTATTAACAAACGAACTCAGGATCTGACTTTCACAGTGATTCACACTGTGCAAGGGGGGAGATGATGAGACAATGAAAACGACATTTTTAGAATATGCTGACAATAGTTGATAAACTTTTGGGTCATTGTGATATGTTTTTTTTTTTAGATGAATTGAAGAGAACAATAAAACAGTAGCGGGACACT